TGACTCCAATCTGTACTTCTTTTCCGACATCGATTTGGTCTCTCGAGTGAGAACCCAGATGAACTTTAGAGAAACCCACCCTGTGTGAGAAGAGAAACAAATAAAATAGATACAGTTTGAAGTGAACGAATAGAAATTTCAGATGATTACCCTATATATTCTGCCACGAATCCGAATTGATTACTCATATAAATGTGGATGGATATAAACAACTGGTTTGTCATTTCGAGTCCCAAATCGAATAGATGGCGATAGATCAACAAAGTACTAGTATAACCACCTACCATATTTCCTGGGTGCAATGGGCTGCCGTCACCACCCACTTTGGATGAATCAACGTTGCTGCACAATAATGATTGCCTTGAAACTTCAGTTGTGCGGCCCATGGCCAGCTATGAGGTGTTGCTGGAGCTCCACCTACGATCGCCGTGCCAGGCAATGACGTACTCGGTGGTATTGCTTGTACTCCACACGACGCAGTCTATGGACAATATATTGAACAGAAACCTAGTTAGGTACAACTTAGTCACGCATGGACGATGACCTCCAGGGATATGAGGTCATCTACATAGAACAAGCTGTGTACACATTTGTTGTTTCCCACATCTATTGTCAATATATTATCAAATTGTGACGAAAGCCAGTATACGGTGTAAACAGCATGTCTGGACGTGTTCGCAAGATTTGTTCTGAATCAAATTCGGTTCCCTGCACCGTGACATTGACGTGTTAGAAACGGGAAGAAAATTAATGTGACTTACCACAACCGTGGTTGATAAAGCTGAAAAAAAGTGAATGAGCTGAATTAGTGAATATTTCTATTTGCCTATTAAATAAAATTTAACTTACAAATTAAAACAATCAAATTAAAAAAAAAAATCAATAACAAATGTCATCACCATCATCATGATTAAAAAGATCATTTTCTCGAAAAAATATAAAAATAAACCAACCGTTCTGTCAGTACGCATGTCATATACCATTCTTACACGCAACACGGCTTTGTGTGTGCAGGTGTGAGTGTAAACAAACTTAAGTGTGTCAACAAATGGTCATATATTCACTTGAACTTGACATACGTCATGACCGCCACGGTTCGTCATTGGCAAAGCACATCGATGGAAATCGGATGTGCAAACACGACCAACCACGAGATTATACTGCTCGTTTTCAATGACGCACTAAAATGTAATTTTTTGAAGTTGAATTTATCCAGATGGTAACTGACATGACACAGACCATGGACGCTGTACATGCGAGACTTACCCAGCGTGAAAGTGACGACAGTTATCAAGACGATTACGTCATTGATCGACATCTTGACTCGAATGAGCTGGATTTAGATGAAATAGTTAGTAAATCTGAGACAAATAGCCTGTGACACAGTATGCAAATAGCTGTATACTTATTTGACCTCAATGACCTTAGGAAATTATTACTTTATGGGTGGCGATTAAATAAAAACAAATGTGCCGATATGCAGAGTGTGTTTGAAAATGCGACATGGGAATTGAATTGACGTCACAGAAAAAAAAAATACCTGACATTTTCCCATCGGCAATATAGGACGGGCGTGTTTATAACGCTATTCTATAATCAATACCCGAAATTTGCATGACAGACATTTTTTTATTTTACGTTCAGTCAACAGCTAGGGACAACATTAAAAGTTCAATGTAGGATAAACAACTTAAGTAATTCCTTTAGCCCCCACCACCACCCTACCCCCACTGAAACTTAGTTGATATATATTGATCATGGCGTCAGACTACATTCACCAATAAATACAAATTTATAATCAGACAGTAGTATGGCATAGCAGTTTGTTTGACGCACATATTTACACTCGGACCAAACCATTTTCTTGTCTTGGATGTGTTTTTTTTTTCATTTTCTGTTATTTTGTCCATGGTTAGATTAAAAAACGAACTTCAAATACTCCAAGATTTTTTGACTTCATTAAAAAATAAAATCGTTTTTGTAAGATGAAAAAAATTTGAGGTCACCCCCCACCCCAACTAAAGCAAATACGTTTTTTTTATCCGACATCGATCTTTCTAATATGTTTAGTGTGATTCGCCCTTTTAATAGATCGCGCCCTCTATCGACGACACCATTCAGTGACGTTAATGTCACATTTTTCATCTATAGTCGTTACTGAATAACAAAGCAAATAACGTAAATGGCGAACGACTACACTATCTAATACAGTTGTCTCTGATCTACACCATTTTGACGCCATAGAACGCTTCGTCGCCAGAGGGCGCGACTGAATAGATAGATGAGGTGATTTGCCACCTGTTTGTTCATTGACGCGACTACGTCAGATATTTAAAATGGAGATGACCAAGTTTCAGTAAAAGATAAAATTGAATTCTATTGACACCTTTAAAGGGTGGCGGTCGTCGCGCAACGCGTGTTCGAATTTCACTTAAATAAACAATATATTTTTCACGCGTTGCATACGTCGCCATGAGTCCCATATTGAACAGGACGCCACGAGGACTGCCGCCCTTAAATATCAAGGCTTTTGCTATTGGAAGATAAAGGTTGAATTTAAAAAAAAAAAATAATATTGGCTTTTCAAAGAATCTAAAAAGAACGAAATGTTGCATTTAGTTTAATACTAGTAATCACAGCGAGGTCGAGAGCAGTTTCATTCAATAACCGATGCAACTGGAAGAAAAAAACAAAAAAAACAAACACAAAAACTATGACAGGCATTACAATTGTATTAAAACTTGAATAACATGAATGCTTTTTACCACGTGACTTACTTGTGACCAAAGATATGCAAGTTAAAAATAATTTTGGCAGGGCGTCAACAATCTCCTATACTGGACATAGAGGGCGACCAACACAATTGCACATTTTATTTAGTAGATAATCGTCAGCATAGCTCGATCAACCGAGGGGAAATTAAACGTCTCATAATTGGCCCGAGGTACGTCATTAGTGTGAGGTTGTACGTATCACATCAATCCTCAGATTAATTATTAACTAGACTATCATATTATCTGTTTCCAACTATGTATATTCTGTAGCATATCATTGGTCGTTGTTTCTGTTATTCGGAAACACCGCTGAAAACCTTATTCGTCTTTTCTATATATGAGTATTTTGTTTTCTGCTTTCCAGGCGTTTCTGAATCTCATAGCTTTTTCCGCTGTATAAAGAAAATGATAGTCTTTGCGATTTGGCACGTCACCGTTCAATATAAAATTTCGAGTTATTTGCTAACCTATTTTCATACGCTCAGTCAGGGTTTGGGAAAACACATTCTTGGCTGATCCAAATTACTGATGCAATTTTGCATATCCTATAATGACTACCTCAATGGTGTAGCATTGCTTATTCATAGTAATGCCAATAGAACTAAAGGCTATTGATAAGTTAGATAGTATTTCATATCTGCAGCCTAGAACACCTTCATATCATGAAGAAATAATTAGTTTTAATACAACAACGTGTGAGAATTCCTCTCAGCTTTGGATGTTCAACTGGGATTTTCATTTGAGGTAAAGATTGTATTATTTTATATATGGTATGTGCTGGATGTTGCTTATCGAACAATTTCTCTTCCTGTGTATGTTGTGAAGGATACCCGTTTCAATTATACATATTTTATTGTATGCTGTAAGTGTGATGCCTTAACCGTCTCTACGATTTCTCTCAGTGAGTTGAGGAAATTCATAATTTTCTCCATACTGTCTGACATTTTATCACGCTTCTCGGCTAGACTTTTAATGCTAGATTTTGAATACAATTCACTCTTTCAACGGGATTTTGTTATGGACTGGTATGGTGCTGTATGCATGGCAATCATGACATCTTCGTAATCCCTCTGACACGTGGCAAGCTATGCTAATTGGATACACAGAAATGTAGGTCTATAATTACCTCCCTCATCGCTGTATAGAAATCTACTTGATTAATCGAGTTGACGGCTTGTACTTTGACAGTATGGCATGATAGTATTCAATCACGTCAACTTGTTTACCTCTAGATACTATAGCAACTCAAAAGCCCTGTTGTATAAGTGTTTGTTGTATCTAGGTGAAATTTAGCAGGCCAGTAGGCACCATTTATCAAAAAAGTTAAATATCTCCTATTGTGGTCATAGACTTTTCTTTGTCATTTATATTTACAGTAAGTACACGTGCTTCAAATAATTCGAGAAGAAATATAGCAATTACAAATACAACTGCAAGCAGTGATCAGAGGGGGGGGGGTCCAATTAGCTATGGTTTAACTATTTTTAACTAACTGACAATATAAGATGACTTGATATTCTGGTCACATATCCTATCAGACAACGAAATTATGGCTTTAGTTACATGTCTCTATCAGGAACAGTATGTGAAATATTACAGTTATACATATTATTGATGTCACGTGACCATATACAGTCATCTAATACTAACATTAGTGACATCACACTGTTAGACACCTTTATTATAGCACTGGTGCATGTCACTATCTGCACCAGTGCTTAGTATATTGCAATTATGCATATTATGCATCTATTTATATTTACAGAACTGTAGATTATCCAAAAGCACATATATACCTAAATTTATCTTTGAAGTACCTTGATTAATTTATGCAAATTAGGTAATTAGTAAGCGCACAATTTCCCCCCAAAACTGATGAGTTTGTTCAAAGTTTTATTCGAAAATATAAATGATAAAGATTAACTGTTGGTAAACAGATGTGTTATTATATGGTCTGTTCAAATGTGTTTCACGTTTCGTAATTATTAATTACAAACCGCTATCGACGCCCCAACCAACAGCAACGCCCTCAGTACCAGCTTCATAGTAGGTCTCTGAATCGGACAAACATGCAATATTCACAAATGTCATATTCTGTTAGGTTGGCGGCGTATTTTAATTTCACCAAATCTATGTCGTTCTCTTTTGTTATGCTGTCGTAAAAATCATGCTTAACAATAACACTGACTCCAGTTTGTTGTTCTTTTCCAACAACGGTTTTGTCGTTCGAGTGAGAACCAAGATGGACTTGATAATTCTCCATGTCAGAATAGAGAAAACTAATAAAATGAATACAGTTTGAAGTGTACGAATAAAACTTTCAGATGATTACCCTATATCCTTCCATGAATCCGAATTGATTACCTATTTAAATGTGGATAGATATACACAGTTTGTGTGTCATTTCAAGTCTCAGTTCGAATAGATGGCGATAGACCAACCAAGTATAGCCACCTACATGCTATCCTGGGTGCAATGGGCTGCCGTCACCACCCAATTTTGATGAATCAACGTTGCTCCACAATCATGGTCGCCTTGATACTTCAGTTGTGCGGCCCATGGCCAGCTATGAGGTGTTGCCGGAACTCCACCCACGATCGCATATCAGCATATCTGGGCATATTCGTAAGCGCTTGTCTGAATACAATTCGTGACAATGACGTGTATTATTATTTGAGAGATACGTAATAATACTTACCACAACCGTGGTTGTCCTATCTGAAAATAATGTGTTAAATTAGTATTTTTTTTCGTATATGGCTGTCAACTAAATACACACACAATACGCAATTAAAAATCATCACTGGCAGATATTTGTGTAAACAAACTTAGGTCATAAAAAGGTCATAAATTCGGTTTTGAACATATCATGCAACATGACCGAATCTGTTCGCCATTAGTAATAAAATCAGTGTTCGATGGAACTCGGATATGTAAACACGAACACCAACTTATTAGACAGTTTACTGCGCGTTTTCATTGGCGAGTTAATTAAAAGCAGGGGTATGTGGCAGTGGATATAAGACCTATCTGGGGGAAAATTAGTATATTTTGCGGGTGAAACGCTCGATTATTATTTGGTCCAAATATGCTATATTTAACAAAGACATGCTCGCACAAGTTATATGCAACAAAATAGCCGTTTTCATCAATTGCAATTTTCAAATTCTCCCAAATCCTTTTCTTGGATTATACTCCTATAACCGTAAGGGGTGACAAAGAGCCATGTTTTTTCATAAACACCTAATAGTGTGGTAATTCTGAAAACATAATATCCCGATTTTCACTGTATTGCATTATATATTGTTTTTCACTTGGGTGTTTAGATTTATCTGTGTAAATAGACATTCTTATACATTCTCGGGCCAGAATTTACCAGCCATGTAAATTTCAACATTACAATTACATCATTTCGTAATTATTTCTACATTAGCATAAACACATTATCATTATTTATTTATTAGCTTTTATTTAGACGTTATTACTATATTATTACTATATTATCTTTACATTATTTTGATCCCATTCACTTAATAGGCCTTTATTTAAACATTTTTGGTCGAT